AAGAGGCACTCAATCTGATCCACTTAATCAGAAGAAACTTGGAACTCGCATTGCGGATTTAGAATCTCAACTTGGGCAAGCGCAAGAAGAGCTGAAGTTTCTTAAACAGCAATTGGCTTCAGCTGAAGCTGCAAAGAAAGAAGCTCAGGCCGAACTAGAGAAGAAAACCAAGAAACGAGGAGTTCCAGATCCTGTTGAAATCCCCGAAAAGCAGTTTCCAACTGAAAGTGAAAACTCAAAGGAAATGGATAACAGCAGCAGGGATGAGGTTCCTGAAGAGAACCAGCGAGAAACTGATGTTTTTGAAGTTCCAATAGAAAAAGTGACCCTCGACCCTAAGGTTGAATGCGATGAAGTTGAGCAGGTTGAAAAGGAAACTAAAGCATTTGAGGTGCCAATTGAATTGGCTGCAGCATTGGAGCCTGAAAAGCCATCCTTCCATGATTTGGCTATGAAAGATGATGAGATAAACATGCTGAAAGCCAAGCTGGAAGAGAAGGAAAGTGAACTCGGGGGGTTTGTTCAAGAAAATGAAAGCTTGAAAAAGCAGCTGGAAGAAGCAGCATTAAGCATTTCAACTGCTAATGCCAAGGAAGATGAAATGACCTTGAATTTGAGTGAGGTAGGGCAAGAGCTGGAAGCAAGTAAATCAATTTCAGCTCAGTTGAAGGAGAAGCTGGAACATGTGGAAGGTGAAAAGGAAGCATTGGAAGCTGAGATGAAGAAACTCCGAGTACAAACAGAACAGTGGAGAAAAGCAGCAGATGCTGCGGCAGCTATTCTTTCTGGGGGAGTGGAGCTGAATGGAAGGATCTCAGACAGGTGCAGCTCTATGGATAAGCACTTTGGAGGCGTGTTTGTGCCACCTGCTGGTGGGTATGCTGGTTATGTGGGATCACCCGGATTGGGTGATTATCAGGATGATGGTTTTGGAAGTGGAAAACGAAAAGGCTCCGGGATGAAAATGTTCGGGGACTTGTGGAGAAAGAAGGGCCAGAAGTAAAGACTTATAACTCTCAAGCTAGATGTTCATGCATGATGGTCACGGGTAAACGGTTGCTTACCATTTAGCATTTTGTTGGGGCTGTTTCCATTGCTGCAGCAATTTGGCCCATCTTGTTCTCAGTAGGTATTATACTAAAACTATGTAATCTAAAACCTTGAGGATAATATTACTATGTTGTACTTCTATTTGGGGATTATTATGTTTGGGGAGTTGGGAACCTCTTCGGTCGGTAGACAGGCTGAGAGGGGGTATTTCTTGGGCCCCCTATGTGGAAAACAAGTTTCAATTTGTTCTCCCATCTATTTTGTTGATACCTTGTCTTCCTTTTTTTTTCTTTCCCCTTCTTTTTTTTTTTTTTCCTCTAATTGGATGATGAGTTATATCATGGGAGATGGTCCTCCCTTTTTTAAACCTTAGAATTTTAATTTATGATCTTAAATATAAAATTTTAAATTCTAAACTGGGAAGTCTCTTAAGGAAAAGGTATATTATGGACACCAAATAATGTGACTTAATTTCAGAAGAGTTGTTCAAATGACTCACTTTCAGAAAAGCAACTGGGCAGATGACATAATGGCCTCTAATTCTTCTTCTTCCCTCAAACCCACCCCCACTCCCTCCCCTTTTCCTGCTTTTTTGGGGGTTATATCGTAGACATTCCTCTCTTCTTGACTAACGATGTGTTATAGATGGTAAATTCTTCGAACAAGAGATAACTATGCTTAACTCGTACTTCCCTTCTCTAGAGCTTGGGTCTAGCAACAAACCAACGCCTGCTGGCTGTTGCTGTCCTCAAGAAACTAGTAAAAAACCTAGAAAAAAGAACACCCAAATCATCCGTCTCATACCTTCCCTTCATTGCAGACCCCTGATTTTGCAAAACACCTCCTTGCATCATAAAATAGAGGTGATGCTCTCCAACCTGCCTCTGGGCAACCTAGAGCATCACTAGTGATTAATCTAATGATAGCCAAGGCATTAATCCAACGGATACAGAGGAAACTAAAAGACCTACAAATCCATCCTGTACATTCCCTTGTCATTGATTCCTATTCAGCCGCGAAATACACCCTTCGTGGCAGCTGCTACCGGCTACCCCTGAGCATGCTAGTTTCTCATAAATAATCACCAACCTCTTAAATCCACTTCTATAGGATCCAGAATTTATTTGATCAATGGTCTTTTCTCAGAGTCACACAATCAGTTAGATAACCACATACATAAACATGGGTTATCCTGATGCTTGGAAATTTCTGGGAACTTTCCCCCATTAGGATTTTTCTATTTTCTTTATGTGAAATCAGATATTCAGTTTAATACAATACAAAATTAAAAAAAAAAAAGAAAAAAAGAAAAAAAGAAAAAAAGAAAAAAAGAAAGCAAGAAATCACTCACTAATCGTCATCACTTTCATAATTTTGGCAAAGTGATTGGAGTCCTGTGTTTTTATCATTAACAACTTGGAGTCCTGCGTTTTTATCATTAACAACTTTCTCTTCCTTCTGTTTGTTCTCTTCTGATTTTGAAGGAATGTTAGAATCAATCGGTTTCTTGATGACAGAAATCTTGACTGCAGCTCTGAAAGGAACTTTAGTATCATTATGAGCCCCCGAACTGCTTGAACCATCTATGAATAAACAAAATAAAATCATTAGGATCTTTATGCAAAAGTACAAGAAAAGTTCCACAATATTGAATGGATAAAAATTGATTAAAAAATTCAAAAGTGATGTCTCAAAAGTCGTAAAAAAGCAGTGACTTTTTTGATTGACAGCTTATAATTACTTTTATTCTTGTGTAAAGGCCATTGAATATTTTGCTGAAAAGAAAAGCTTATAAAGCTACCCCATACCAGCAAGGTAAATCATGCAGGCCAGTGACAACATTCCCCAATTTTAGTCATTTCTTTGGTCTCATAATGGCAAATATGTTAACTGATGTTATTGACTTTTTTTTTTTTGATGTAACTGATGTTATTGACTTTAAATAAATACAAAATTCAAGGAAAAATGAGAAATTGCAGTTCATACGATGTCTAGAAGGATTTTGTATTAAACCCTAGAGCGCACGCTTATAGATGGTCCTCTTGCAGGTTCTGGGCTTTGGCATCCGGCATTTGAAAAGGACTCAAGATATGATGATGATGATGGTATATGAAGGCTAATGTGTCTTAGAGGCAAGATAAATAGCAGACAAGTTGAGAGGGAAAACATGCAAAAGAGAAATAATTAATAAATTAATAAATATACTTCTAATGATAGATTTCATAATTTAACGCTTATTTACTAAATGTCATTTTTTACTTTAAATTTTCCAATTGACCATTTAGTCTTTCATCTGTGCATTCTGCGGAATCATCTATCAAATTTATGTTTTTAATATTTTTTCCCTATCATTTACAGCGATTAATGCTTTAAGCAGAGAAGCTTTTTGACGTGAGAGATTAAGTCTTCCTTTCAATTTCCACATAAATTTGATTTCAACATAATAAAATTTGGTTGTCGTTCATAAAACTAATATGTCACTGCTTATACAGGTTATGAGATCTCTTTCAGTTTAAAACATTTTAGCTTCATAACATGTATTAGAAAACATTTAAAACATATACAAAAATTACCTTTGATGCTGGAACCATCAAGAGTACTGGCTTTTGTCAAGGAATCTGTTGGGTTGCCTTCTTCTGAGGCCTTTCTCCTCTGTATTTACAATCACAAGAACTAGTCAACAAAGTGTTTGAGATTCATAATACTTATTCTACAGATTATAAGTCTACCACAAGAACTTTTAATTAAATAGAAAATTAGCTCAAAATTGAAGTTCTGCAAGCACAATACAGTCCTATTAATCTTTCTCTGCCTCAATTACATTCTTGCCCTTCCATTCAAAAAGGAAGACATTCTTCAGGCTGATAAATGTCCATAGGTCAGTTCATTGAGAGTCATTTATGAAAGTTGCTAATGATTTTGAGCATATGCATTTCAACATATCCTCCCAAGTGGAGGAATTAGTTAACAAATATTACTCACCATTTGGGAACATAACCAAAATGATGAGCAAAATACTGCAAGCACTCCAAAATAATCACCTAAATCGTCACAGGATGCAACAATTTGTATCCCAAGAGTATTCAGATTAACAATCTTCATTTAAGAATTAAAAATGAAATCTATTAAATAACATTTGAATCACCATTATAAGATAGCACCACTTCAAATAGTGAGGCTTCCCTAATTCTTACATATTTGAATCTTTCAAACACATACATGAATAATTATTCTCACACAGATCTCATTCCATTGAACAGCTTGTTTGGCAAAGATATAAATAATTAATAATGCACCCTTATCTGTGATTAATAATGAAAAGGTATAACAAAGGCCAAAGAAAAAAAAAAAACAATGGAAGGTTTAACATGTTAGATTGAAGCATCCACACATATGCACAAAAGTGAACATGTAATGTATGACAAAATCAAACATTCCATGTTTCAATAGAATACTATGTAGGATAAAAATAAGAGAAGTTAAATCCACCACAATACCTTCAAACTATTGCCTGATGTTTCGCCATTACCACTAGATAGATGAGTCAATTCTCCATCATCATCAAAAACCTCATCCGAAATTCTTCGAACAACTTCCTTTGGTCTCTACATTTAAACATTAAAAATAAAACAAAGCTACAGAAATTAAAAACAGATTCTTAATCCCAGAAGATGTGGCATTGCAATTGGACACCAAAGCTAACCTGGAAAATTGATTTTATAAGTGCCTCATCCTCTCCTTCCAACTTCTTCTCCTGTTATGAACAAATGTAGCCATAGAATCAGCATCATATACTACAACTCAGTACACTTTGTTGAATTATTATTTAAACAAACTGGTTGCAGTTTACGTAATAGTCTTTAGAAGTTCACATTTCATTTTCTTGGGATCCAAATTGGTTAATTACTTTTACTAATAAGTTTACAATTATTTTGGAGTTCTAATCTTGATAGGTTAATGAAATGCTAGTCTGATAGTCCATGTGAGTACGTGAGTACCTAGCATTAATTAATAGTTTTATAAGCTTCAAAATAACAAGAGTGAGTATTCTGATTTGCCCTGGCAGGGAATCCCCAGAAATTCTAAAGGCGTCATTAACTTGATTAATATATGATGCACTAGTTACTTTTATTTAAAGAAACTATTTATCTCCTTAATCAAACCAATCTTCTCCAATTAACCCCGAACACCATTCTTGCCAGCCATAAAAACTATAATCCCTTTTATCTTTCATCAACCTACCGTCACATCAGCCAAACAAGTAAACCCCTCTAATCTCTCATAAACACGTCAGTGCACGCGCACCTCAATCATGGATTGTATTTGACTCAAAAAGAAAAACGTATTACATTGGTAGATATATAATAGTCTGGTAATGGATTCAAGATTTGAAAATAAATAAATAAAATTGAGGAATCAAGAGTCAATAAATATAAAAATTTGAAATACCAGACCTTCTCCGCTGCAGTGTGCTGCAAGGCCTCAAGCATTGCTTCAACACTCACAGTAGCATGCCTTGACTGCACCAAGACTTGTATCAGCATCAAAAGTAAAGAAAACACTACAAATCAAAAAAGCAGAAAAATTACACTCCTTTTATGGCATACAATATATAGAGTACCCTCATAGACTTCATTTCATCAAGTGCGGCAAGGATATCCATCTCTCTTTTGGAATCCATTGTTCTGTTCTCCAATGATTTCATTGCATCCCCCATTTCTTCAGTTTCTCTTTTCTGTTTCTGTTTATCTGCTTCCTGAAAA